TTCCTTCCTTCCTTCCTTCCTTCCTTCCTTCCTTCCTTCCTTCCTTTTCCTCCCTTCCTCCCTTCCTCCCTTCCTTCCTTCCTTCCTTGGCTTTGTTGATTGCATTTCCATTTCTCCATCTCACAGTAGTAGTTCCACAACTACTACTTTTTGGGTCTTGGAAAATCCGATGAGCTCTCTGCAACCCATTCCCAAGACAAAAAAGTGCACATCGGTGCTTTCAAAACAATTTTGCCACAGTTTGGCAGATGGGGGTGGGGATAGACCCCAGGAAGTTAAAATAGTAGAGGATTCGTGTAATTGGTTTCTCTGCTAGGCAAAGAACTCTTTGGGATTGCTATTTAAATTCCAGCCATCACTTTTTTTTTTTTTTTAACCTTTTGGGTTGTAAATGAGGCACTTACAGATCCAGCTAGGCAACACCACGTGGGCCGGGGGTGGGGTGGGGGAAATGATGAACCGGAGGCTACCTTCCAAACACAAACCCAAAGCCCTGGGTGTGTCCTTTTGCTGCTTTTAGAGAAGAAAGACAATTGCTACTTCTGGCCTCAGAAGCGCACGTTCATTAATCGAGAAACTGAAACAGAGAGAGCTAAGGCTTTTTCGGGTGGAGGCCTTGGGGGTGTTGGTGTCTCAAAACTCGGTAGCTTTCTCAGAGGATGCTCTTCTTTAATAGGATGTGGGAGGAGCATCTCGGTGCTCAGATCTTCCCTTCTGTGAACCCACCCCAGGCTGGCCCTCTGGAGAAGCGTGCCGGCTTTCCAGAACCCAAGAGCTACCTGACCAAAGGCCAGGGACCCGGCCGGTGCCAAGTAACCATGTGTATTGAGCTGCAGGACCAACCCCCTTCTCCTCTCCCCTAAACCCTTTGTTAGCAAAGGGTAGCTGAGGAGGGATTCATTTGTGTGGTAACTTCGTACTTAAATTTAAGGACGGGTCTGCTTTTTCAATTTTATCCCGTATAGCTAAAGAGGAATTTTAGGAAGGGGGGAAATACTTCACAAATAATTAAAATAACACCACAGTCCTCCCACTTACGTTGTCTCATATTAAAAGATAAACGGAGACATATTAAAAGTTTTAGGAGTGTATTTGAGCCAACATCAAATCGAATCGGAGTTCCAGCCGGAAGTGGGTAGGGGCACGACTTTTATAGAGAAGATGGGAAGCAAAGCAAGGAAATTATTTGATTGACTACAGTTTAAGCAGTTGCTTGATTTGAAAAAGGCCTAGTAGGCTGTTTGTCCTTGGTTGTCCTTAGATTTAGATTTCTTAACCTTGAGGCATTTACCTACTTCGGTTTTAGTTTGCTTACATGGGCTGCTAAGGTATTAGAACCACCTCAGTCTTACGGTCTCCTTGTTTAATTAATTTAACACCCTGTACTGAGTATTTAATGCGTAAGAGCTTTAGAAAATGCTTTTCCTCACCTCCCTGTTGGAGAGTGAATTATGAGCCTACTTCTAATATCCTGAGGTGCCGCCTTAACAAAATACCCGGATAGAGTTAGTCATGAAACAAATCAACAGTTCCTGATGCTGGTGAGCCAAATTGGTTACAGCATGTTTGCTTTCAAATAGTGTCTGTAATCAGAAGCAGGTTCTCTACCCCAGACAGAGTAAAGGGGTATTTGGGCAATTTAGACACCAATCAAGCAGCTCATTTGGGATGATTCCAGCTGGTTTAGCCTTTTCTCATGATTCTATAACCTGAATACTTGTCTATGTTTGTATGTTTTAAAATCTAGAGAGGCTTGAAATCCAAAGCATCTTCCAAAATTAGTTTGGGCTTCACAACACGTGAAGAAAATGCTGTTGTTTTAAAAAATACATTCTTTGAATTGGTCATAAATTCTTAGAATTTGAGATGAGCACACACACTCCCTATTCATATTTGCATTTTATGACCTGAATAATACACTTTGCATGAGGTCGCAGATACATAGGAAGTGGCTGACAAAGATTATGAAAATCAATGGTAATAACAACCAGACCAAAATCCTTAAACATCAAAAAAAAAAAAAATCTATCAGAATGACTTAGAGACGTTTAATGATACTGGACGGGTAGTTTTCATTTTTAGAGAAATAAAAAAATTTCTTTTGCATAGATGCAAATTTAGACATTCCAGGAATGCAAATGACTTCATCCTTAGTACCTTGTTGACTTAAAAAGTTATTTTCTCTATTTCTGTATAGGAAAGTCCAAAAAGAAGCTATGACATAGTGAGAACTCTCTTTTTAAGCATTAGGAGTTCAGCAGTAACGATATTACTATCTGTGCTTTGTAAAACCAAACCCAAGCAGGGCGGCAGCCCGTGGGCTCAGAGGGAAATGGTTGCCTCAGAAAGGCCCTTTGCTGGATCATGTTTTAGGCCAATGCAGATACATTTCTTACTAAAGATACTGCAGACACTAAATGCAGATACTAAACCTCCAGTGTAATGTGCAGTATAGCATGAATCTGAGAAGAAGGAGAGCAAGAAAATTCTTGGTCTAAAGCTATTCCTGTTGTAGGACACTGTAGGAGAGGGGAAAAAATCTTTTTCCTATACCCATCTTAGGTTTCAGGCAGTGGCCCTGCAATTAGACTAACAAACTACAGATGCACAAGAGAAAAAACAAGCCGAAGTTTATTAACAGGTGCATTGATCATAAACGTGGGAGCACCCAGTGGTGAGTAACTCATAGGGCTGGTTAGAAACCTGCTGATACAGCATCTTCACAAAAGAACATTTTCGAGAAGTGACAAGACCAAAGAAAAGGACTTTAAGTTTCTTTAGAGCAACAAATTGTGGGAAGAAAAATACATGAGGAAACTCATGGTGGAGACAAGGGCTAGTTTTACAAAGTTTGTTAGGTGGATTCCTCTGCTGTTGTCTCTGGATGATCAGGGTCTAGAGCTGTCTCTGGAGATTGACTTCTGCCCTTCCTGGTAGAGAGGGGAGAAGGAACGGACACCTTTGTAAATTTCTG